GCCACCATGGTAGAACCTCTCAACTCTAGCAAACTCACGGAAGTGGCTCTCTGGATGGGTCGACACGTAGACTGGAAGTGACAAAAGTGCAGAATGCCCTTCCCCCCCTCCTCCTTTCCCCGCCTCGTCGACGCACTTCAACCTCGCTTGTTTTTCCTTCACATGCAGTCGCGATTCGTTTGGTTGCTTTAAGAGTTCAAACTGCTATACTAGTTAATGTTGTTAATAAAGTGTTTGTAAAGTTTTAATACCAGCGTTTTTAGGGAGTGAGGAACAGAAGAAGAAATACATCCCAGGTTTGGCTAGTGGAGAACTTATTGGTTGTTTCGGATTGACCGAGCCAAATCATGGTTCTAATCCAGCCGGCATGGAAACAAAAGCGAGGTGAGGCGAATGTACGGTTAGCTGAAAATGGTGCTTGAGGAGAATCTCTGGATAATTGCATTGCCACGCCACCAGAGACGGTTGTTGTAAAGGATTAAAGAATAAAGTCTCCGCCCTTGATCAATCTTTTATCGGATGCGGCACTCATCTTACTTCTATTCAAAATCGTAGTGGCTTTTTGAATGCGATGTGGCCTATACAATGACTTCGGAGGGGGGGGGGACAGCCGATGTAGAATTCAGTGTTTTTATCCTCCCAGACGTACCTGGTACCAGTCCCCGCAGGGTTGAAGGCTTGATTGGCCCTGGCGGGAGCCGATCCGGAGTTTGACTCCGGACCGCTCGCGTGGTAAGCGCTACTTGTTGCTTCACCACCTCCGCCTCCGACAGGTATTGTATGACATTACAAATTTATCAACATTTAGCCAATAACAGTGGCAAAATCGCGCAGTCTAGCCTAGTGCACGATAAGAGGAGTTAGAACATCAACTAGGGAAGATGGGGGGGGGGGGGCATTGCACTTTATTATAACATGTATTTTGGGCGGTCCTCAGAGGTTGCGCATCTTACTTTCTCTATCATATAAGCATATCAAACAAGCTCGGCCTTTTCACCAATACATCAGTAAAGTTTTACGAAATGCGTACAGAGCAGATTTCATGGAGCAAGGGCCTCCTATAAGCGATGTTACTACGAACAATTGAATCTTTGCCCCACACGCATTTACTTATGCGTTTTACTTATTACGCTGGTTGGGGACGCCTGTTGTAGCGAAGCCCGAGACGCCCAACACTCCGAAAACACCGATTAGTTCTTGTAACGCAAACTGGCATCACTCTGTTTTCATTTCCCACCTTCACAAGTCTTTACGGGTCTCGCCAGCATGAGAATGATAGTTAACAGTAATGAGCAAAAGGAAATAGCGGTATTGCAAAATGCCCTTCCGCAGCCGAAATGGCCTACAAGTCTTACATAGATGTTTCGGTTTTGTTGTAAGGGTTATTACCCTTAACGGATGCTAATGATTCTTCTGGGTTTTGAATACGTTTCGGATCTGTTGAAAATATCGAAGCTTTGCAGATGGGATGAGAAAACGAAAACTTACCGTCTTTCTGGCACGAAAACATGGATCAGTAATAGCCCTGTAGCAGATGTATTTATAGTCTGGGCCAGAAGTGATAAACATAACAATGACATCAAGGTAGGTGGTTCAGTATGCTTTGAAGGTTTAATCGAATGAACTATTTCTATAGAAGCCAATCTCTTCAGTTCTAAAACAGTGAAAATTCTAGGGATTTATACTTGAAAAAGGAATGGACGGACTAACAGCACCTAAAATTGGTGGAAAACTTTCACTTCGAGCGTCTATAACTGGACAGATAGCTATGGATGAAGTTCCTGTACCGGAGGCTAATTTACTTCCAAATGTGAGTAATTTTGCAACTCAATATTTTGATGTTTTCGTTTGTCGTTATAAGTATCCCTCTTAATATCATTTTCTGCTAAGACAAAAGGTTTGAGTGGACCATTTGGTTGTTTGAACAATGCTCGTTTTGGAATCGCATTCGGTACATTGGGTGCCGCAGAGTCATGCTTTCATCTGGCTCGAGAGTACGCTTTGAACAGGTTGGTAGCCAAGCGTCTATTTTTTTTCTTTCAGTCAAATCTCTCCAGTTACATTCTAGATTTAAATTGTACACTCACTTCCAAGGACCATCCCTCCCATGTGCGAGGTGAATGGGTCCACAGCTGCAGTAGCGTGCTGCTTTTTCCGCTCGAAAGTGCACAGGAAGCGATCTCCTTGTTGCCGTCTTCGTACTCCTCCCGCGCCATCCTCTCTAGTTGCGACAATACCAAGATCCCGGACGAAATCGGCGTTGAGGAACAGTCAGAAGTGAGAG